GGGATTTGGGGCTGCAGGGAGCAGGGATCTGGGGCTGCAGGGAGCAGAGATTTGGGGCTGCAGGGAGCAGGAATTTGGGGTTTCAGGGAGCAAGGATTTGGGGCTGCAGCGAGCAGAGATTTGGGGCTGCAGGGAGCAGGGATTTGGGGGTGCAGGGAGCAGGGTTTTGGGGCTGCAGGGAGCAGGGTTTTGGGGCTGCAGGGAGCAGGGATTTGGGGCTGCAGGGAGCAGGGTTTTGGGGCTGCAGGGAGCAGGGATCTGGGGCTGCAGAGAGCAGGGATCTGGGGCTGCAAAGAGCAGGGATTTGGGGCTTGGTTTGGGGCCCTTGTGGGGCCACAGTGGGGTGGCACATCCATGGGATGGGCTCTTCCCTCCCCGAGCCCTGGGGTCCATCCTCTGGCCGCCAGCCGGGGCAGACCCCCATCCCTTCCCGACACAGGGGAGGCACCTCCAGCTTCCCAGCTCCTACTCTCCCTTTCCCAGGAGTTTTGTTTGCGCTGCCGGGAGGGGGGGTGGGGGAGAGAGCGGCCGTTCCAGAACATCCTGTGCCTTAAAAGCCATAAAAGGCTTAAGTATGGAGCGGTGATGCTGGGAGCCCGCACGCACACGCGGCTGCTGCTCCGAGGAGGAGAGCAGATGGGGAAACACCCTCCTCCGTGACCGTCCTACATCTTCCAGAGGGGGAACAGCAGCGCCGCTGGATTTATGGTGATTTTTTTTCCCTCCCTCCCACGCAGCATTCCCAGCCCCGGCCGCTCCCGGCGCCGCTCGCATCCCTGGAGGCGCTTGGAAAGGGATGCTCGGAGGGCACCGGGGATTTTTGGGGTGAAGTCGCGGCGGGTTCCTGGCCATGCTCCGCCTGGACTCGGTTTCCCCGGAGCTGTGAGTACCTCTGCTCTTCCCGAGCGATCCCGGCGGGAAGGAAGGAGGGAGCTCCTCGCTGGAGGTCAGTGGGTTATTCGGGAGAGGATGCCTTGGAAGGGAACAGCTTCCTTTTAATAAGCAACCAGAATCAAACCTTTGACTTTGAAAAAACTGGGTTAAAAAAGGTTAAAAAGGATGGGTTTCCCCTTTACTTTTTGTGCAGAAGGGCGGGTTTACCCTTACTTCTTATTTATTTCTTTTTTATTTTTTCCTTCCTCCCAACAGCCCCCAAATCCCGTTTTTTCAGCCTTTCTCTTCCCTGTAGCCCCCAAATCCCGTATTTTCAGTTTTTCTCCTGCCTGTAGCCCCCAAATCCCGTATTTTCAGCCTTTTTCCCAGCCCAGGCCCTGGCAGGGCTGGGGGTGTGCCATGACCTCCCCCCAGCTGTGATCTGGCCCGGGCTCTTTCCATTCCCTCCGCAGGGATGCAGCCGAAACACGGAGTGACAGGAGCTCTGGAAACACAACCCGAGAGGCTGCAGGGCTTGAAAAAAGCCCTTCTGTGTTTGTGGCTTGTGCAAAAGAGAAGCTGTTTGTGCAGAGGCAGCTTTGGGGGGCGAGGGGAGGGATGCAGGATGCTGGTGGGACTTGGATGGGGAAGGGGATCCCTTCGGTCCTGCAGGTCGGTCTTGATTAAATTATAACAATGAGATGTGAGCAAATCTTACCTTGTTCTGCTGATTCTTCAGCCCACACAGGAAAAAGAAAAAAAAAAAAGGCTGGTCTGGGCTCTTTGTCTGTGCCAAAAAAACAAAACAGCTTCTCTCCCTGTCCCGTAGCTGCAAACGCTCCTGAAATGCTGGTGCTGTGGAATATTCCCTTGCACAGCCTCCCTGCCCTGCTCCTGTCAGCAGCTGCAGGAAACTGCCTTTGGCACGAGGAGGGTGGAAATGAGGGGATGGGGGGAAGGGGTGAAGCTGAGGGGGGAGGTCGGGTGGGTCACGGCCTCCAAACTGCACCTCCGGGTGTCTGCAGGGGATGCTCGGGGTCGGGAGGAGCGAAAGGAGCTGCCCGTGAGCTCTGCTGGTTTTTGTTTGCTCGGTACAATTCATTACCTCCTAATCCTGATGGTTTTCCTCTTTGCTTTTGCCTTTTTTTTTAATTTTTTTTTTATTTTTTGCCAGCTGGGTGATTTGCAGAGAGAAGGCAGAGAACTCGTGGATTTTTTTTGTTGTTGTTGTTGTTGTTTTTCTGGGTAGCTGTTACTATGGCAAGGAAACTTGATTCAGAGAGAGGTCAGCAATGCCAGGCTGAAAATCTCATGCATGTATGTTCTGTTTAAAGAACTCAGCTGCCAGGGTTTGAGCAAGGGAGAAGGAAAAGCACCAGAGTCCCTGGTTTTCAGAGGGTTTCAATCCTTTTCTGCCTAAAAATGGGATTTATTTGCCAACCTGGGCTTGGTGTTCTGTGACATCATGGTCTGAGTTCTCTGGACTGTTGAACAATGGGGGTTTTGGGGTGCTGGGCCCCTCTGAAAATCTATTTGGTGGCGGAGAAATGAGCTTTATCCCTGGAGGAGGAGGGATTTCTGGTTCTCTTTTGGGTGCTGAGCAGAGGGAATGTGGCCTTGGAGCTTCCTGAACATTGTGTTTCCTGGCTCTGCTGCCCTGAGGAATCATTTCTTTCCAGCAAAGGCCTGAGCCCACAGCAGGCTGGAGTTTATCTGCCAGGGCACAGGGTGGTTACACCACCACATTTCTCTGCTTCCAGGAGGAAAAGCAGCTCACTTCCATTACTGGGATTAATGGGGAGCTTTGGGTGCTGCTCCCACAGCTGAAACTTTCTCTGTGTGGTATTTGGGGTGCTCCTCACCCTGCTGCCTTCCAGCACAGGTGAAAACAGCACAAAGAAGCTGCCACTGTGTGTCCCCTCCTTCCTCATCACTTGCTGTGGTTTATTCCTTGATAAAGCTCGGATTTTACCCAATATGAGATGGGATATCAGGGAAGCTCCAGCTGCAGGTTGGGGTTTTGGGGAGATGTGGGGTCCCACCTCCACCTGGAGCTTCCCTGTGTAGGGGAACTGAGCACTGAGCCCCAGGAGAGCAGGAATGATGTTCCCAGGACAGCCTGCCTGAGGTGTCCTGGTCCCTCTCTGCCCCTCAGAGCAGGTGAGGGCTTGAGGAGCAGAAAACACTTCCCTTCTCCAAACTGTGCCTTGGATCCTGTGCCTGGAACAGCTCCAGGGAAGCACCCAAGTGTTGCTGTAACTGGAATTGCACTGGGAAGAGGGTCAGGAGCAGGCAGGGCTGAGCTGGGCTGTGCCTGACCCCCCTTTTTGGGGGTGGGTGACATTCCTGGAGATCTCCCCTCCATGTCCTTGTGCCACGGTCCTTGGGACAGAAATGGGTTGATTCCCTGCCCTGAACCATCTCCTTTGAGCTGCCTTCCTGGGGCCTGTGCTCTGTCATCTCTTCTGCTCAGGGTTTGATGGAGCACAGGCAGCCAAGGCAGAGCTGGAAGGGATCTGCTCCCTCCCACCTGGTGCTGAGGAGCAGGAGCTGTGATTCCTGCTGGGAATTCGGGTGCTATTCCCAGGGTGTTGCCCCTGTTCCTGCCTCTGTGGTGATGCCTGTCCCTGGAGCAGTGGGAATTGTTGCTGGAAGTTGTTGGGTGATGCTGGGTGTCGGATTGTTCGCAGCCCCTTCTCCCGTGGGAGACACAGGAGCCTTTTCCTGGAGCAGGAATTTAATGGATTCCTCTACCCCACTGGTGGCTGTGCCTGTTTTAACCTGCCCCTGGTGACAGCAAGGAGCACGTGGGTTGTGTTTGGGGCTGGCAGATGTGATGTTCTGGACCCAGCTCCAGATGTTGCTGTGATGGGAGTCCTGGGCCTGATCCATTCCCAGATCCAGTGGTGGAAATCTGGGATGGTGCTGCTGGAGTCAGTGGAGCTGATGGTTGAAGGGAGGAGATTTGGGCTCCAGCCCTCTGGACTGAGGGAATTTCACAGCTGGAGCAGCAAAGTTTCCAAATCCTGGGGAGAGTTGGGATCAGGAGGAATGGGGAAGCAGCACCGAGCATGGATTCAGCCCGTGGATCCCTTTGACACCCACCAGTGCTTGTGATAAACCACAAATTATGGCAGATAATAAATACCACTGACCCAGGGGCTCTCCAGGATGAGCCCAGAGTGACCTGCAGGGTGAAGAATGGCTTTTCCTTGGAGTGTCCCAGCACAGGGAGCTCACCCCTGCACACCAAGAGCCCTGATCCCCTCTCAGTGGGTGCTGGGGGGGCTCCTCCTGCCCAGCCAGGCTCCAGATCCACTTGGAAAAGACCCTGGAGGGTTTGTAGGTGCTGGCTGAGCTCCTAAAGCAGGGATTTTTGTCCTGCAGGGGCAAGGTCTGGGTGCTGGATTGGGCTCAGCTCCTCTGGTAGAAAAGCAATTTCCCTTCCTTTCGATTTCAAAATGTCAGTGCTTCCAATTAGTTTGGAATAATTAAATGGTAATTCCCTGTCCCTGGCTGCAGTGCACTGAGGGGGTGGCCAGCAGGTTTTCACAGTGCTGGCATCACTTCCCAGGGAGATCCAGGTGATGCTGGAGACGGGGAGACAGAGGACGTGGGCACAGTGTTTCGGCTGACCTTGATTTTCTTTAAATAGCATGGAAAAGGAATAGCAGGTTATTTGTATGCCAAGGCAGCTGAATGCAGGCAGAGCTTTGCACTACAGCTGCTGAGGGCTCTGGAGATGCTGGTTGCCCTTCTGGGATCACACCTGGGCTGAATTTCCAGGTCTTTGTTCCGAATTTCCAGGTCTTTGTTCTGAATTTCCAGGTCTTTGCTCTGCTCGTTCCCACAAAGGACCTGCCCAGCACTCCAGAGAAATCCTCAGCAGTCTCCAAGTGCTTTGAGCCACGTTCTGTGTGCTGGTGTGTTGAAAAAGAAATCTTTAGGCTATTTTAGACAAGTGTTCTCAAGCTTTGGATGGTCCTTAATGACAGCAGAGGAACTGCCTGGCACCAGCAGCTTCTGTGTCTGTCAGACATCTGAGTGGAGCTGCCTGTGCCTCATCCCAGCATTTTGGAGCTGAAGGAATCGAGGCACAGGGCAGGAAAAGAACTTCTGGATGTCTGAATGCAAATCTCTCGTGCTCCTGGAAACAGGAGCTGCCTCTGCTCCTTTGCTGATTTATTCTGCTGGATTTGTCCATGGAAATGCAGGAATATTCACCTGGAAAGAAAATAAATTCTTCCTGAGAGCAGTGGCCCAGAGCTGCTGGAAGTGCCAGGGCACAAATCCCGGAGCTGATCCCTTTGCTGTGCTGATGCTCCCGGGGAGGGGGGAGCAGCAGCTGGGATCTGGGCTGGGGGGGTTCCCCCTTTCCCCTCAGGTTCTGGGAACGTGGGAAGCGTGGCCTGATGTGCTGCTGCTGCTTTTTGTTGTTGCTTTGTGTTCCTTTGTCCTGCTGGGATGTGCCATGGGGAAACATCTGAGGAGTCTGTGCATGGGGAGAAGAGGGGATGATGCTGCCCCAGAGCAGAGCAGGCTCAGCCAGGAGTGTCCCCTGGTTGGGTTTTTTTGGCAGCTCCTGGCTCTGCCCTTCAGTCCCGTCCCCAAATGTCTGAGCAGGCAGCACGAGCTGGGAGCTGCTGCTGTGCCTGCAAGGGCACAGAGAATTCTGACTTTGCTTTAAGGGCAGTTGTTAAATAAACCCAATTACACGGTGAAGGTGGGGACGTTCAGAGCAAAACCCCCTTTACTCCACGCTGGGCAGCGCTGCCTTTGTTCCTCTCCGTTTGCCCTCTCTCCGTCCTCCTGTACTAATTATGCTCATCTGCATCCTGCTTAACGATGTTCAGAGAGAGGAGATGAATGGTTTTCCGACGTGGTTTTCCAGCCAGAGCTGGTGTTTCTCCTTCAGGGATCCCTCCCAGCTCCCGGCGGGTGGCACAGCCCTGGGTTGGGCTGGAGAGGTGGGACCTGGGGGTGACTGGGGTGGCTCCTCCCCGGGGTCTGCCTGGGGATGTGCATGAGGAGGAATCAACCGGGTCAGAGGAGGAGGAGGATGCAAGGAAAAGTTCCCCAGGAGGCAGGAAAACAGCCGGGGAAGTGAGCAGGGTTTGAATGTCACTTGGGGGCGGGGATGCATGGGAGGCAGGAGAACAAAAAGCAGGAGAACAAACTGACTCCAACCTGCTCGCCTCATTATTTTTATTTTTTATTTCCCCACGCACAGACACCTCTTTTGTTTTGTTTTATTTTTAGGATTGGGCTCTGCAGGAGCTCCTGAGGCAGGTCTGGATCTGCAGGATTAGTGGAGATGGAATGAAAGGTACCGGTGGTGCTTCTTGGGTGGGGGGTGGCAGAGGGGCTGTGGGGAGGGAGGGATGCTCTGCTCCTCCTCTGCTCCTGCTCTGCTCCTGCTCTGCTCCTGCCTGCCAGGGCAGGAGGGTGTTTGCACTCCCTATGTGTCTTGTTATTTTTCCCTGGCTTTTCCAGAAGGACATTGAGGGGCTGGAGCGAGTCCAGGGAAGGGAATGGAGCTGGGGAAGGGGCTGGAGCAGCAGGAGCAGATGAGGGAGCTGGGGGGGCTCAGCCTGGAGAAAAGGAGGCTCAGGGGGGACCTTCTGGCTCTGCAACCCCCTGACAGGAGGGGGGAGCCGGGGGGGGGTCGGGCTCTGCTCCCAGGGAACAAGGAACAGGAAGAGAGGGAACGGCCTCAGGCTGTGCCAGGGGAGGGTCAGGTTGGACATCAGGAGGAATTTCTGCCTGGAAAGGGTGGTCAGGCCTTGGAAGGGGCTGCCCAGGGAGGTTTGGAGTCCCCACCCCTGGAGGTGTCCAAGGAAGGACTGGCCGTGGCCCTCAGTGCCCTGGGCTGGGGGACAAGGTGGGGATGGGGCACAGGGTGGACTCCAAAACCTTGGAGGTCTTTTCCAACCTCAGCGATCCCGCATCTCCACGATTCTCTGCTCTGCTCTGCAGCATAACCACCAACCCCTCACCATGGAGCTGGCCAACACCAAGGACTTCCAGTGGAAATGCCTGGCCCCGCTCCCGAGCCGCAGGGTTTACTCCACGCTGGTGGAGGCCGGGGGACAGGTCTTTGCCATCGGGGGCTGCGACGACAACGGGGTCCCCATGGACTCCTTCGAGGTCTATTCCCCCGAGGCCGACCAGTGGACAGCCCTGCCCCCCATGCCCACGGCCCGGGCAGGGGTGGCCGTGGCCACGCTGGGCAAGAGGATCATGGTGGCCGGAGGGGTCGGGGCCAACCAGCTGCCGCTGAAGGTGGTGGAGATGTACAACGTGGATGAGGGCAGGTGGAAGAAGAGGAGCTCGCTGAGGGAGGCGGCCATGGGCATCTCGGTGACGGCCAAAGGCAAGGGGGGAGCTGCCACCGGGCTGGGGGCTTGGGGAAGGCTGGCATCGGTTCACAGGGTGGTGGGTGAAGGTTGGACTCGATGATCTTAGAGGGCTTTCCAACCTAATTGATTCTGGGATCAGTTGGTGCATCAGGCACAGAGGCTTTCTGGGCAGTGGTTACCTTGTTCTCCAAATCCTTTTCTTCAGCATCAGTTCACAAGGTGGTGCTTGAAAGTTGGACTTGACGATCTTAGAGGGCTTTTCCAACCCAGTTGATTCTGGGATCAGTTTGGTGCATCAGGCCCAAAAGCTTCCTGGGCAATGGCATGGGCTTACCTTGTTCTCCAAATCCTTTTCTTTGGTATCAGTTTACAAGCTGGTGGTTAAAGGTTGGACTCGATGGTCTTAGAGGGCTTTTCCAACCTAATTGATTCCCTGCTTGCTGCATCAGCCCCAAAAGCTTCCCGGGCAATGGCACAGGGTTACCTTGTTCTCCAAATCCTTTTCTTTGGCATCAACTGACAAGGTGGTGGTTGAAAGTTGGACTTGATGGTCTTAGAGCTCGTTTCCAACCTAATTGATTTGGTGATCAGTTGGTGCATCAGGCCCAAAAGCTTCCTGGGCAGTGGCACAGGGTTACCCTGTTCTTCTCCAAAACCTCCTCTGCGCTTCTAGAAGTTGAACCTCGTGTTTGTCACATCCCACCTGCTCAAGATGTTCTGTGGGAGGCTGAAAGCAGATAAACCAGGGGGCTGCTCTGTGTTTTCAGCCCTGGAGCCACAAGGGCCATGCCTGTGTTAGTCCCTGGGGGGATTTTGGACAGGTCCAAGCTCCAGAGTCTCAAATCAAACTCCCTCAGGGTTTTGAGCAAATTCTGGCCCTTGAGTGCTGCAGATGCTGGAAGAATAGGAAAGGTGCTGCTGGCTGAGAGGACCTGCCTGAGGTTTGGAGCTGGGCTGAAGGTCTCAGAGCCACAGAACAGCTTTGGTTTGAGGAGACATCTCTGATCCAAGCCCAGAAGCAGCCAGGAGAGAGTTATCTTCATGGCCACGGGCTCAAATCATTGTATGAGGAGGGGAAGCAGCTGGTTTTGTGAAGCTCCTCTGCAAGCTTAACCCCTGCTTTAAATGCCCCGAGCTCTGCCTTATCAGCCAACCTCATTTCTCACTTTCTGAGGGAATCTGTGAAGCACTGACTTCCTTTAGTGTGCTCTGCCCTGCTTTGAAGAGCCTGGGGTGGGAGCTGTGTTCCCGAGGTCAGGCAGCTCCTGGGATTAGGGATCTAATCTCCAGGCAGCTCCTTTGAAAGCTGCTCGGTTTGTTTGCTTAAGTGGCTTTAAAAGCTGCCGTCAAGGAATGCTTAAAAATAATGTTTACCATCCTGGAGATGATTTTCCAGTCTGAGAATAAGTTTCTCCTGACTGATAAGGCAGGGTCAGTGTGGGGTGAGAGGCCAGGTGTGTTTTTGCAGGGTGGGGATTTCTGGTGCTTTCCTGTCATAATAATATTGGGATTTTTTTTTTTTACCTCGTCCAGACTACAGGGTGTATGCAGCTGGTGGGATGGGGTCTGACCTGCGGCCACACAACTTCCTGCAGCACTATGACATGCTCAAGGACATCTGGGTGTCCCTGGCAGCCATGCCCACACCCCGCTACGCTGCCACCTCCTTCCTCAGGGGCACCAAGATCTACGTGCTGGGTAAGGACCAGCCCTGCCTCCCCCTCCTCCTCCTCCTCCTCCTCCTCCTCCTTTGATCTGAGCACTGAGAACCTGCCTGGAAGAGGCTTTTGGGGATGTTCTCCTCCATCCTTCCCCGATTTCTCACGCCCTCAGAAGCACTGGAGGGTTTTGGGGTGGGTTTGGGTTCACAGCTCCGTGGTGAGCACCCACGAGAGCCCCTCCAGCACCCTGGGAGCTCACAGCTCTGTGCTGGGTGGGTGGGCTCCCCTGTCCCCCTCCCCACACTGCTGGAAGATGAGGGTACACTGGTCTTTGCCTGCTTGGTTGGCAGCCCTGTGACTGTGTGCTAAAAGCCCTTGGACTCAACTGATGCATAAAATACTTCAATAAATAAACACTTTTATGCATTTTATAGCAGCAGGAGCTCCACAAAGGGACTGCCTCTGGCAGAGGAAAGACCTGTGTAGTTGGGCTGGAACAAGCCCTTTGCAGGGGATGATTTCCATGAGTTTTGCCTCGTAGAAATGAAAACTGAGGCAGAGGAACGTTGCTGTCAGCTCGTGGCCAAACAGCACGTCAGGATCAAAACACACAAGTCCTGATTTCTCGAACGGCCAGACAGCCCTGGTTTGCTCGAGGGGTGACCAGAAAAGAGCCTTTGATCTATTTTGCACTTTGCTTGCTGCTGGGGAACAGTCTGTGAGCCCAGGAGCGGGCTCAGGATCTGCCTTCAAAGGCTGAGAATAGCTGCATTCATCCGAGCCCGATGGGTGCAGGGATAATGTGGATCCTTGGCAGTGGGAGCAGCAGCTGCTCTGGCTCTCCTGCTCTCAGGAGCTTGGCAGCAAGGCCAGGGCTCGCTGGATCTGAGCTCATCTGAATTGCAAAGGCTCCCCCAGCCTGATCCCTGCTCTGCTGTGAATTTGTCATGATTTAACCAGCGCACAGCAAACACCTCCCGGTGCCAGCGGCCGCTGCCGGGGGGGTGATGCGCTGAGAAATGAAGGGTTTTCGTGGCATGAACCTGCAGCTAAAGGAGAGGGAGCACAGAGGTGAAAAATCCCAGTGACCTGAGACCCCGGGGGGCTCCTGTGGTGCCTGCCCTGACCCTCTCCTCCCCCCCTCCCAGGTGGAAGGCAGTCCAAGTACGCCGTCAACGCCTTCGAGGTCTTCGACACGGACACCAGGTCGTGGACCAAGTTTCCCAACATCCCCAACAAAAGGGCCTTCTCCAGCTTCGTGCCCACGGAGGACAGGCTGTTCAGCCTCGGGGGGCTGCGCCAGGGGCGGCTCTACAGGCAGCCCAAGTTTATGAGGACCGTGGACGTGTTTGACGTGGAGCAAGGTGGGGCTGTGTGGGAGCACTCAGGGTTTGGAGCTCTGCTGGCCTTGCAGAGCACAGAGCTCTCACCTGCTGAGGCTGCTGGTGCTTGAGCCCAGCCTAGAGGAAGGCCTGCAGTCAGGATTAACAAGCAAAAAGGGAAAACCATGGTCCAGAGGCAGCTGGATTCAACAGCTGCCTCCTGACTTGGTGATGAGGGACCCGACCCATCTCACGGGGTTTTATTACCCCAAGGTGCAGCAGCAGAACTGCTCTCCCTCAGGCGAGAAGGGCAGAGGGGTTTTCCAGGAGTGGATGCTCCCATAACACCCGGTGTGTCCTGTCCCTCCCAGGTGGCTGGATGAAGATGGAACGCTCCTGCTACCTGAAGAAGAGGCGAGCAGACTTTGTGGCTGGGTACCTGAAAGGCAGAGTCGTCGTGGCTGGGGGACTAGGTGAGGCACTGGGGGACTGAGTGAGGCACTGGGGGTGCTGGGAACACTTCTGAAGCCAAGTGGGGGTCACGTGTTGTGGTCACAAAGAGGAGAGATCCTGGTCCTGGCTGGCTGGAGGGAGCAGGGAAAACCAACCCCACAAGGGAACGGGGTGCAGAGCACTCAGGGGATGCTCAGTGGGTATTCCCAGGTAACCCAGTGCCTCGCTCTGTGCTTCCAGGAAACCAGCCGACCGTCCTGGAGTCTGCAGAGGCCTTCCACCCCGAGAAGAACAAGTGGGAGAGCCTCCCCCCCATGCCCACCCCGCGCTGCGCCTGCTCCAGCATCGTGGTGCGGAACTGCCTGCTGGCCGTGGGGGGGGTGAGCCAGGGCCTGAGCACGGCTGTGGAGGCCCTGTGCCTCTCGGATTCCTAGCTGGATTCCCAGCTGGATGCTGCCTGGAGCAGGACCTGCCCCTCGCTGGCCCTGGCAGTGGCGCTGGTGGTGGTGCTGGCAGCTCCCAGGGTCAGGTGAGTGCCATCCATGCTGTGCTGGGAGCTTGGAAGCCCAGCCCTGGAGCCACCAGACAGAGCTGCTGGTCCTCTGCTGGGCACTGCTGTTGGAGCCCCATGGAGGAACCCCCTGTTTCACCAGGGGTCCCTTCCAGTCACCTGCAGAGCTCTGTGGGGAGATTGAGGTGAAGGAACTGCTCTCAGCGCCGGTGCCATGTCTGGAGATCTGGGAATTGTCTCCCTGCAGCCATCCAAAGGGTTTGGAGGTGTTGGGGCTGTCCAGCCAAGTCAGTGGTGGCTTGGGGAGGACTGTTGTGGTGTTGCCCTCTTTGAGCATCCTGGGATCTCTGTGCTTCCCTGCACGGATCCCTTTGGCTGCAGCCAGGGAACCTCCGAGCCTGCAGCCAGATCCAGGGGATCGTTCCTTTGCCTTCCTAGCAAGGCTTTTCCTGCAGACCTGTAGCATTTGCCTGGCACTTGGGCAGCAGCTGGAGCCAGGGGCTGCCAGTGCTCCCTGAGGGATGAAGCCCAAGGGGGGAAGACCTTCCTTTAGGCACAGGACGAGCACAGATCCTGCCTTTACTGGGGTTCGTGCAGAGATGGCCTCGAGTCACAACGTTCCAACCTGGTTTTAACTACTTTAATCATTTGGGATCTTCCCTTTAGCCCTGGGAGAAAGGAGCAAAACTGAGCTGTGCCTCTGGTTCTGGCACACTCTCACCACGGGGACAGGCAGTGGTTTGGGTGATGCAAAAAAAAAAAAACCAGGCACCCCTGGCCATTGCCCCTGCTTTGGTTTCACTCTTCCCAGGCAGTTTTTGGGGGTACAATTCCAGCTCGTAGCAGTTGCACCATTAAAATTGTCTTTGGAAAAGCCCCTGGAGGAACCCATTCTGTGCTCTGGGGCTGTGTCAGAGGGGTGTGACTGTGTGAAAACGTGGGACCCAGACTGGGAAGGAGGAGAGGTGGGAGTCTGGGATCGTGGAACCACAGAATGCTTTGGGTTGGAAGGGACCTCACAGAGGCCGTGTCATTCCATGGGCAGGGACACCTGGGCAGCCTGGCCCAGGTTGCTCCAACCTGGCCTGGGACACCCCAGGGATGGGCAGCGATGTGACCCCATCCTTTGTCCTCTCCCGAGGCGTCACCTCCCTCATTAAACGCGGTCCCGGGGCTGCGGGGAAGGGGGTCCCCGTGTCACCGCCGTGTCACACGGAGGGTGCGGGGGCTCTGCCGCGGAGCACCGAGGACACCGTGCGGCGGCCGCGGACACAGCGGGGCCGGGCATCGCTCCCGCCGCTTCCCGGCTCCTTCTCCAGGCTGGATCCCCCACATCCCGCAGCTGGGATGGCAGGGAAAAGCCATCTAGGGATGGCAGGGATGGCAGAGAAAAGATACCAGCTCTGCCGCTGCCATCCTGCCCATGATCCACATCCCGCCTGCCTGGCTGCACACACGGCTGTGGCAGCGCCTGTCAGAGCATCACGGGCTGTTTTGGGTGGTGAAGGACCTTAAAGACCATCCAGTTCCACCCCCCTGCCGTGGGCAGGGACACCTCCCACTAGGCCAGGTTGCTGTGCCCATCCCCTGCCACGCTCCCACCTGTGCTCCTGGGGTTTTCTTCACTCAGGCACCGTGGTTTGGAAGGTGGATAAATGCAAATAGCTGATGGCAGGAAGGAGCTCTGTGGAGCTGCACAGCTCTGGCTGGGATGGAGGGCCAGGCGTTTCTATCTGACCCCATCCCCGGGTGACTCGAGGGCTGCTGGGTCTGGCAGAGCTGAGGGAAGGTGCTCAGAGCACCCCCCTGCATGTGGGTGCTGCCTCCTGACCCCTGAATGCTCATGAATCATCCCTTTGAACTACAAAAACCCGGGGAAGGTGGAGGAGGCTTGGAGGGAACGAGGAGCCTTCTCCTCCAGACCAAACCCTGCCTCTCCCTGCACAGCAAATCTCCGTTTCAGCTGCCTCTGCACAGGGCCTGGCTATTAATGAGGAGTTTTCCTTTGTCCTTAAGGAACCTTTCCCACACACACACAGCACAGCCTGATGCTCCTCTGCTCTTGGTTTCTCATTAGCCCCGAGCCCTGCTCGGCTCAGCAAGGCTCGGGGGCTGCTGTGCTTTGTTAAGCTGGAGCGAGGGGAGGAGGGATCTGCTGCCTTTGTCTGGCTGCAGCACAGCTGGAGGCTGAGCCTTGGCTTTCTCTCTCCAGAAAGGCTGGAGAGAGTGACAGACAAAGCAGTGCCATGGGAATGGAGCTGCTGTAAGACTTGATGAGGAGATGGCAGGGAGCGGGGACAGGGCTGGGGGTGACAGGCAGTAATCAAAGCTGGGGATGTGCTGAGCATTCAGAGAGGGAGAAAAGAGGAGCTCTGAGTCCCCACGAAAGGAGAAGCAGATCCAGATCAGCTGCCTTTGTAGTGAATCCCAAGCTCTCATCATCAAACAGGATCCTGGTACATCCCTGGAGCTGCTGGGTCCCAGTGGGGGCCGGTGGCACTGGGTGCTCCTGGCTGGGGGGGCTTTGCCCCACGTTGGAGCCAATGTAGAGCCCAGAGGAGGGAGGGCGGCATTCCCGAGCTGTGGCACGAGCTGCAGGATTGAGAACCATCTCCACTGACGGCTCTCACAGCTGCACTTTGATCCCTGCCCTTCCCTGGGATACTCCTGCTGCCGTGGGAAGCAGGAGCCTGCAGGAGATTTGTCCCAACCTGCTGCTGTTTGTCACCCAAGGGTCGTGCCCACCCTCCAGGTGACGGAGGTGTGACCCTGGCCAAGGGAGGGGGGTCAGGTGCTCCTGGCTGGGGGTGCAGGGAGTGGTTTGTGTTGTTTAAGCAGGTTGAAGTGGTTGGTTTGGGCTGAGCTGAGCTCCCAGAGCTCCGAACAGCAGATGGCATCCATGGGCTGAGCTCAGGCTGGAGCAGCACCTCCAGCAGCCCTCCTGCTGCCCTGGCCAGGCAGAGATGGACAACACGGGTGGGATGGCTCCAAAATCCCGTTTTGGGCTGAGCTCCTGGCTCACAGCACAAGGATCCAGCAAAGAAATGGATGTGAAAAGAAAATGCATCTCCTCCAGCATCTTGTTCCCAGTCATCCCCTCTGATCCAAACACCTTCCAGCAGCTGAATTCTGCTCTGGGATGCAAATTGTCCTTAAAGCTGCTGCCCAGAGTCAGTCAGGGAAATGTCTCTGGGGTTGAACCCTGCTGCTGCAGCTCCCTGAGCTCTGCAGTGGATCCCTAAGGAACAGCCAGCTGCAGAGGTTCTTTCCCTGGGTGAATGCTGCCTGTGCTTTCCTGCAGATGATGCTGGAGTGCTTCCATCCTGGGAACTGGTGCACTTGGGGCCTGCAGGGACCAGGTGAAGCCTCAGCTGTGAGGTTGAGCCCGGTGACACAACCAGTGAAATCAGTGGCCTCTGCTGGGAATTACCAGCTTGGAGGGGGAGCTTTGGTGGCTGTGTGGGGCAGACACAGTGATTGGGGTGAGGGGTGATGGCAGATCCTGCTTTTCCCAGGAATTTTTTGGCTGTTCAGCCTTGGGCAAGCCCAGAGATGCCCTGTGAGACAGGGACTGTGAGTCTGTGTGCACAGAGGGGAAGGTCGTGTGTGTTGGTGTAACACCAGTGCGTGCAGCCCCCTGGCACCGCCAGGGCATGTGTCCCTTGGGACCAGGCTCAGGTGTGGCAGCACGGGCAGGGCTGTCTGTGCATCCCAGAGTGGCAGCTCCAGCTGCTCTGTGCTCCCAGGGCACCCACAGAATTCCCACCCTCTCCCCACGGGGCTCACCCAGCGCTGCACCCACGTTATGAGAGCACATACCTGGGAGCCGCTGTCACCTCCAGCAGGTCCTGCTGTCTGTGACAAGCAGAGCTGCTCCCAGGGCTCTCTGGGAGGTGTTTGCATGAATTCCCTCGTTTCCCAGCTCAGTGGGTGGCAGACATGCACCGGGGCCTGTTGCACCACCGGGGGTTGTGTGGTTGTGTGGTTCCTCCCTGCTCTGCCCCGTGGGAGCTGCTGCCCTGGCTGGGCTTGGTCCTGCCCACACGGGAGGTTTTGTGGCCTCCAGGCTGTTGCTGCCCTGGTAAGTTGGGCAGGGTTTTCCCTCAAAACAAACTCGAACCAAACTGAGGTGTTTGTTCTTGAGGGACAGGGAGTTCAGGGGACTGCCCACCTCCTCTCACCGCAGGGGTTTGTTGTGCAACCTTAAAAACCCATTTAGATGCCAGTTCAGGATTGTATTTAAAGGGAGTGCTCAGACCTCAGCACAGAGGACCTGCTGATGCCAGAGCAGCTGAACCTTTCTTTTAAGTCATGGACGGTGCTGCAAAGGGAATACCTTAGAAATAAAGCAATCAAATATAAAATAACTCTGTTTCAGCCCAGCTTCCTGTCTGCAATAAATCTGACCTGCTTTGGAGAATTGCTGTCAGCAACCTTCAGAATGGATTGGCAATTATCTGTGGTGTCTTTTCTCTCTCCTTTTTTTTTTTTTTAAATGTATGTATTATCTCAGAGCTGCCCTGGCACGGGATCACGTTTCGGTACAGCGAGTGCTCTGAACGCTCTGCTGGGACATTCTTTGTCACTGAGCTCCAGTGGCTTTGTCACCCACTTTCTCCTGCCCCTGGGAGGCTGCAGAAGGCTCTGGGCAGGTCCTGCTGCCCCAGTTAGCCCCCCCAGTTCCACAGGACCCTGTGCCCACCCCAACCCCTGTGCCCACCCCGCCCTCCGCGCCCACCCTGCTCCCCCCGCGTGCCTTTATCCCACACCCAGCGGAATTCCCGGAGTTTTCCACTGACCTACTGGGGCTCCACAGATCCCTGACTGGCCCCGTGGCCGTGTCCTCGCCTGAACTCCCGATGCTCCGAGTTTTCTGAGAGGCTTTTCAGCCCCAGCCCCGGTGGCTGCTCCGACACAGTGGCCGAGGGCCCCTCCTGCCAAAATCCATCTCTTATTGTCTCGGAGCAGCCTTTGTCTGCACAAACAGGAAACTGCCTCGGAACAACCTCCAGCAGGTCTGGTTGTGGAGCAGAAATTACTCCTGTGCCTTGCCATGGACCCACAAGTCGG